AACAAGGGGTTCAGTGTCTTGCTCAAGGACACTGCGGCATGTGACGGCTGATGAAATTGAGCCCTCAACTCTAGCATTGGAGGACAACTGCTCTAATCACTCAGTTGCATCCGCTTTGTGGAGAAAAGTAGGGGGGCACCACCAAAAACTTTTAAGCGCTATGCTTTATTATTGCAATTAGTTTGAACAGTAAACATATAAGATCTTCTTTCTCATTGTTTTCTTTTGTAGTTTGTAACAAATGAGTTTTTTTTTTTTTCAAATACTTTTACTTGCATACAACTACGTCTAGAAAGGAATTACATTTTTAAAGGAGTGTTTGGTTTATTTTTATAGAAGAAGAAAAAAAACAGTTATGCAAAACATTTCCCAATTTCCCAATTTTTATTACTTCCAATCTTTTATTAACCTACTCATCAAATTAAAAAAACAAAAGTAAAATGTCGTACTTAATAGGTTGTAGTGCATAAAATGTTATCTCCAGTAACTTGAATATTCTCATACTTTATCTATGAAGCGCATTGGAAACTTGACAGAGCTTTTTAGTTTGCCGTGGAACATTAGCACCACAGCAGCCTGCTGTAGTGATCAAATAAAAAAGGGGAGGCCACTCAAGGTCTTATCAGACCTTTGATTAAAACAAATGGCGTTGGCTGCAAACAGATGGCTTCTTAGACATAATTCTGACGCAAGATCTGCTCTTATCAAAGAAAAACAACACTGGAGAATGCCTAAACACAGATAGATGTGTCAGAAATTAGGTCCATGTTGCAGGTTTTCACAAATGAAAAGCTCTTGAACATGAAGTTCATCTCCCACAATTGATAAAGAGATGTTTAAGGAAACAGAAAATTGTTGCTTTTAAATTAAGCAGTCTGTGACCTAACTGCACTAAAACCTGCTTTGATTAGTAAAAAATCTTCAGTGTTAATAATTTCAATAGGTAAAAAATGGAAACCTCAAACTCAAGACATTCTATGATGCAACATAATATACAAATAAAATATGTTACCTATTGAACAGTCATACCTGTGTGATTATGATGCAGTCACATCAATGAGTTTGTCAGCGCAGGTATCCATCTATCATTTCTTCATTTACAAAAATTGACAGTCCTCAAGTAAAAGTAATAAAATGATTTTATCGCACAAGATAAACATAACGCTCAGTCTTCCTCCTTTCAATCCTGACATATCTTATATGGAAATTATTGCTTTGCGTCCTGTTAATTAAGAGTCTTTTTTGTTTAAACACAATTAATTTTGACCCAAATAATGCACATAAATAAAAAAAACAAGAATCAGTCACACATCAAAATAAATAAATAACTTTAAAAAAAAATCTAGTTTTATTTATTTATTTTTTCTTGTGGGAGATTTTGGTTAGAGGAATGTTCATGTAGATATTAGAAACTAAAACCAGATGTGTGGAGAGCAGAACGTATGAGTGAAAGCCATAAAGGAGCACTAAATAAACACAACCAAAAAGAAGGAAGAACAAAAACAGCAAGTGTAAAACCTACAAAAACTAAAAGTAAAAAACAAAACATTGGAAGACTACAAAAAGATGAAACGTATGACTAAAATGAAAATTATTAAAATGGAAACTTTACTTTTGTGCATGACGTGTGGAGAGCTTTTATTTAATTTGTTCCCATTGCAATCAACAAAAGTACCTTCACTACCCTAATACTATGATTTCCACTACATAAGTCAACTCTGTCAAGAAATGTATGCGCCGTTTGTTAATTTATTTATTTTTATATCGGGGTTGCAGGCCCACGTGCACAACAGGGAAAACGTGATGAGGGTTTTAACAAAACTTTCATTCCTGCAGTCTCTTGTGGAGAGGCATTGAAGACGTTCCCAAGCAAATCAAGGTCGGCGTACAGCAGGACACCGTGGAACAAAACTTAAGACGACAGGCAGGACGGAGTAAGTGTGACACACGAAAGTGTGTTTGGTGCGTCCAGTAGTAGCCACAACAACATCTGGGTTCTGTCTGCCTGTCCCAATGTTGGTAGTTGAACTTAATTTCAAGATGCAGAGGGAACAAATAGTGCCCGTAGAAAGCACAGATCACATTTCAACCCATACCTCCATCTTCCCCCAAAATAAAAAAAATAGCTAAATAGATACTTGTGCTTTAAATGTTTGTTGGTGGTCTGAGACAAGCTGAGTAGTTGCGACATTTTGGAGTTTGTAATTTTTTTTTAAAGTACAAAATATTATAAAGGACAAAAAATAATTATGTTAGCTTATAATATTCTTCTATAACATCACTGATGGACAATCAGCTTTCTTCACTTCAGTGGTCACCAAGAAAAAAAGGTTATTCCAGCAGTCTCCAACATTAGATTTCTGTTGTACTTTGGAAAATTATATATTTATCAAAAGCCATACCACAAGCCTGAGAGCTTGAAGGTTCAGTAACTCAGCTGTTCCTTGGACTGCACTCTTGTTGACAGAGATCTCTGAGATTGTTCTTGGGATTTGTTGATACCACTTTTCTAGTATGGGTATTGCAATCATTACCAAACCAATAATCAGCAAGAAGGGAAAAATATCTAAAGCTGACGACTTCTTTACTACTACTGTAAATGAATGAACGGTAAGAACAACTGTAAGCACAGTGTGACAACGTATTACAATATGTTATGAGGACATTACACGCTGTGGTTAAATTGTTTTTTGGCTTTAAGAAAATCTTTCCCTTATAAAGAACCCTTCTGTATTCTCTAAAACCTCTGACCAAAGAGAACATTAAGGAACGGAAGCATCTACCACATTGAGACTAAGTATGCTTTCCTGCTTAACTAAACCCAGCTGTTGGTCAGGAGAAGGTACAAAAACTCACTCTCGTGAAACAAAATAAATTTTTCAGTAGAACGTGTAGACAACCAGGGAAGGATGTGGTACTATTGATACTTCCTTATTGATTTTCAGGTATGGGCAAAAAAGACCACAACATAACATTTAAGAAATGCCCTGTAATATTCATATATGGTAAATGGACTGTACTTATATAGCACCGTTTTATCTTGTCAAAATACTCAAAGCACTTTACACTACAATCTGTGCTCTCACTTACCCATTCACACAGCACTCTACTAGATCACTACAAAGCTAATTGAATATATCATTCTAAAGAGACCAATCAGAGCTTTATCACATTCATACCCACATCGGAGGCAATGAGGGGTTAAGTGTCTTGCCCAGGGACACTTCAGCATGTGGTGGAATCGAACCCCCAACTCTCAAACTGGATGATGACTGCTCTAACCACTCAGTCACAGCCTCCCTTATGTATATATAACTATAACTATATAACTATATAACTATATATATATAAAACTATATATATATAAAAC